TTTAAAATATGAAGGTGTGAGCCTTTTTGAAAGCTTGTCCAGTCCTGGGTCTGAAATGCAATATTGATTTGGTCCTGCAGTCTGGGTTATTTGTACTTCTGTGAATGAGGCATGATCTCAGCAAAGGTTACAGATTTTTTTTTTCTAGGCCCTGAAAGTACACGTTCAGCATGTGATAGTAAAACAGCCAGTATATGATTGGAGTGACTGTTGATTGCAACTGGACTAGCCCACAGTACTTGAAGTAATTTTTTCATACCTAACTAACATTTTGCAGAAGCCACTCACTGTATTTTCCTAAATGATGGAGCTATTCAGAGACCGTGACACCAAAATATCATTGTAGATGATGCTGGCGGGCTCTGTTGCCTGATGTTTTTTGTTGTTTTTTTATGTGGAGAAGAGGTTTGGTTTTTAGAATGGTAATGGGAGGTTTGTGGAGTTGAATGGAGCTCAGACTCCTGCTGTTGCAGTCCAGGGCCATGTTTGTCTTTGGTGTCACTGTTCAACTGTCTGTGCACATGCTTTAATTAGATGTTATTTAAAACAATGTGCATCTCAAATGTTTTGCTTCAAGTTAACCCGTAGTGCAATACCTTGTAAATATACATATCTATCTGAAAATTCCAACAAAACTGTGTATATACACATTTTATATTTATAAGTATTTAATTTTTTATTTTCCTAATGCACATTACTTTTTCTTGTTTGTATGCTCTTTTTCTTTTCTTGCTTTCTCAGGCTTGTTACTCGTCGCCTTACAGAAGAACACTGTTCACTTCCTATATTTGAATGAGTTTATTTCCACAGAAAAATTGTTTGTCAAGTGAGGTCGCTCAGGATAGGACAGTCTAACATATAGTCCAACACGGACAGACAGATAAATTTGTCGCCCGGTCTGTTTACCAAAGCGTGGTGTGTAAGTAAACAGTGCTGCAGTAACAGTGTCATGGCAAGAGTGACATTTTACAACCCTACAAACTCTGTGTTGTTAAATTACTCCCTATAATTTTTTCATCTTGTGACTGGTTGTCGACCAATGTGACTAGCAATTTCATGTGTATCAAATATAATGCATTTTATTATCTGGGATTTTTGTTTTTGTTTTACATGAAAGGGATCTGTTAAAAACACTTATGTTCTTTAACCTCTGCGGAGGTGTTGGCATGAGAGGGGAAGTGCTGTTTGGCACTTAAGGTGGTCACTTCATAGATGTGGGAAGCTTCAGAGGCCCTGGCTTCTCTGATTTCTGGTTGGAGACTCTTTAGGCCTATCTGTACAATGTCATATGTTGGTCTGGGCTGGCCAGTCCAGCACTAGCCACAACAAAATATACTGGTCCACTACGAGACACTGCCGGGTCTGCTACACACAATTGCTGCATGAGAAGTAACAAGTTGCCACTAAGTGGGGAAGGGTTGGTGTAATCTGGTTTCCTTTCTTCTCCTTTCCCGCTCTTACATTTTCTGTAACTGTATGTCCTGGACAGTTTCTGATGTTTATAGATCTATACATGTCTCCCTAAATTTATTTCTCTTTTCACTTTTTATAGCATAATCACATCATGATTTTACCATCACTGTGGTTTGTTGTTCATTTACCCTTTCTGCTTCCATTTCTGCTCCTCACTTGTCCAGCCAAACAATCGTATATTTAATTTGAGCTTCGCAGAGTCCTTCTTTAGCTCCTGTACAATTCCTTCTGTTGTTGTCAGAAACAGTTTTCTTTGGATCATGGGGTTTAACTTGACACAGTGATCCCAGAAGGCAAGCGCAGTGGCAGCTTGTCCTTTATCTTTTTTACCCATTGTGTTGTTATTTCTGATTAGCTAATGGGGTCAATTCTCTTCCAGTAATGTGTCTTTGGCACACACCACACAGTCTGTTTATGTCTTCCCAACAGTGACAGGGAAGAGTTGTTGTCAGAGGGAATAAAGAGTTGAATCATTGCGAGTGTAGACAGGAGGGGAGACCGTGCACCTGGGGGAAGTGTTGCTTTGGGACTATCACTCTCTTCTTCCCTTCCTCATTCCCTTCATCCCCTCCTACCAGTATCTCAGCACTGCCAATAGTAATGACATTACCATACAGCCCCCCCCACTCTCACTGCCCTTCCTTTCCCTCAACTCATTTTCACTTCTGTCTCTTTAAATCTTTTTTTAAAATATATGATGTGAGATATTCTGTTGGGAGTTTTAAGTTGTAAATGACTGAGGGGGTCAGCGGCCCTCAGAGAGCCTCGTCTTAGCTAGAAAGTTTCTGGTGATGAGAACCACAGATTCAGGGACAACATCACACACCAAGCTTGAGTAAAACCACAGGGGTTGTAATAAGACTGGTGCACATGTTTTGTGTAAAATCCCACTCTTGTGGCTTTTTATCTCCTTTGTTATACTTCTTTCTTTACCACGGAGCTTTTGTAGCACTGAGGTATGAGGCACAGGCGCTACACAGAAACTGTGCTGTGAGCTGAAGAATGAGGCAGGACATCATCTTGATGTATCCTGTGTGTCTGCTCAAAGGTCTCAGAGAGTCAAACCTCAAATCACCTCCAAATCGAAAGCAGAGGGCTGAGAGTGGCAGGTGACACTCCATCCATCCATCCACCCAGGAGCAGTAGCAGCACATGACATGTGCTAAGGTAGTCAGCTGTGGCTGTGTTGCCAAATGTCCTCAGCTGCCAGCACACACTTGCTCCAACCCAGTCAGCCTGCCTGCCACTCCAGGCAGTTCATCCAGCCAACAAAGTCAACTGTTGTTTTCAATCAATCATTCCTAGCGCTTTTTTTCCCCCAGTCTCTGCTTCCTCTCTTTTACTCTGCCCTCTGATGAAATACACTCAAAGAGAGGTAGCCAAGCTGCTTAAGTTTGTTTTGACATTTTGATGAATCTGCTGTAATTGTGTTTAGAATTTCATCACTTTATCACCGTGAGTTCAAAGGGTTTCAAGCACTGCAGTTGTGTTTCGGGGAGTGTGAATCTGAGGATCCTTTTCAAGTGTATTAGTAAAGAGCTCTTTGAGGCATATAACCAGCTTTATTGTGCTCTGTGTGTGCCTGTATGCCCCTGGTTTAGTGGATACCAGAACAAACAAGTATCTACTATTCTCCTTCAGTTTCAGGTCTCTGTGTTTGAATGGAACCCTGTTTACTGGTGCTTCCCGTCTCCTCTGTCAGATCTTGAAACCATCAGCTCCACAGTTTGATTCTCTTTGAATTGATTTCAGCATGTGTTGTTCCGATGGGCTTAAGATTCCGCTATGGACGTGAATTCCATTTTAAGCTTTGTATAAAAAAATACTGAAAGCACAGCAGCCACTTGGACACTTATTCCAAAACTTCTGTTTAGTAAACATACACTTTACTAAAGGTGCTTTTCCACCTATATTTTTTTGTTCCCAGGAACTAAAATGCAAGAATCTTCCATGGGGTAGAAGTCCCTCAAGCGAAAATGCTGTGTTTAGAACTATGCTGGTAGAGGAACAAACTTCTGCATAAGGTACCTGTTCTGTGGGGTAGTTCCTCTGGTGGAAATGGGAACTGGAAACTGGAACTTAAAACCATGGGCTATAGTTGGGGTTCTTTCCCAGCCAAATGTTAAGGATAATCACCTTTATTTGGCCAAATATGTTGCGCAAAAGGAATTTTGTTTCCGGTACATAACTGAGGCAGATATCTGCGGCACCAACTCAACCAATGGCTCTAACCATCAGGGGCAACTTGGGGGTTCAGTGTCTTGCCCAAGGACACTTTGACATGTGGACTACAGGAATCGAGATTTGAACCTCCGACCGGGAGACGACTGCTCTATCCACTGAAGCACAGTCACCTCGTTCTCTGTTTGCTTCAGTCTGCTGGTTCACCTGCAGCCTGCGCTTCACCCGTAACCTGTATACCTGCTTATGTAAAATGCTTATGTCCCCCCTGACCCCACTTGCCTCACTCCCTTCTTCTACCACTTTTCTACCTCTCCTCTCTTTCTCATCTTCATTAGTCTTTGGAGCTCATGAGAAAAATGTTAATATTTTTGGCTGAGCATCCCCTGGTTTCCCCTTCTTACACATTTTCTTTATGATGATTACTTAGTGAGCCTGCTGGGATTGGCTCCAGCCCCTCGTGACCGCGTTCAGGATTAAGCAGTATAGAAAATGAGATGAGATGAGATGAGATTACTTGGTGATCTGTTATGTTCTGTTAAGATATTATAACAAGACTGATTACTGACACATTGTAATGTTGGTGTAGCCTAATGAAACTGCAGACAAGAGACAAATAGTGTGACATTGCGGTTCCACAAGAAAATATAAAATGTCACAAACTTACAGCAACTTGGTGAAGCCTGGGTGAAGAATCAGGGAACATAACACCATGCTTCCATAAACCTCGGTGTATGTACGAATTTCATTAAAAACGGTATTCTGATGTCTCAGTCATGTTTTTCATGTATTCCAAGGTTTGTTTGTTTTTCTTATCAGAGCTGTCTGAAGCGAATCAAATTGGAGCGGGGCGAGACATGAAGAGAGGCACGTCACAGACTTCCAAATGCAGATTTTAAAAAGTTTTTTCCCCCAAAATGAGTGTATATTGGACAGTCATGCCTGTATTGGGCTCTGCCCCCCATTCTACTGTAGGCCCACCATGCCTGTATTATTATAGGGGAAATACTGCTGTGTATGAATGGGTGTATCTGAAGAAGAGACAAAGGAATAGATAGAGCCTCCACTGATAAAACAAGAGTATCTAATGCGTATAACTAAAAGGCCTAGAATAGGCATTTATGTGTATGTTAACACACACAACCACTGTCTTACTGTATGTGTCTTGACTTTGTATCTGTGAGTATTCGTGCACACATGCAGCACTTCTTTTTAATTATGCATAAATAAAACCAAGGATGTAAGCACATCTGTTTATATGCATGGGTTTCTCTGTGTGACTGTGCATGCATGCATTCAGACTTAGCACTTCCATGACAATGCTGTTTGTTCCTCACCTTCTTCAGGTCTGTATGAGCTGCTGGCAGCTCTGCCCTCTCAGCTGCAGCCACATGTCAGCCATCCAGAGGATAACACGTTCCTCCAGGACATGTTTGGAGCAAAGAGCCTCCGCTCCCTGGTCAAGGTAAAAATCAAAACAAAACAAAACCACCACCAACAAACCTTAAGTTTTGTTTAGGGTATTTGTATATAATTTTTTTCAGATTTTAAATCCTATGGTGGTATTGCCAGCACAATGCAGCTGCCCAGTTCATACCTAGTGCTTTATAGATGCATACTGTTTTTTGCTAATTATATCAGCATGTAGTCATATTTACATGTTATCTGAAGGAATCACAGTTCTGTAATCATGAATATTGAAATTCTGCTAGCTATTTCACTACCACATCTGGAAATCTTGAGACAAACTGACAGTCCTTTTATGTCCAGTAAATTTAAGTTCCAAACTACACCATGGATATTATTAGTCATGCTTTTAAAACTGGCATTAATAAAAAGAAAGAAAGGAAAAAGAAGTGTATGAAGAACAATAAAGAGCTATCCCTCCAATTCTTGCTTAAGGCCACACATACAATATGAATTTTCACATTGGATCTGCAATCTGGAAATGCTGTCTGCCTTACCCACCTTTACCGTCACATCCTTCCTCTTGTGGTGCAGGCCAGAATCTGATCCCTCTCTCCCCTAACCCACTGCTTTATTCATCCTGGTTCCCTCCAGTCTCATTCATACAGCACTAAGTTTACTTGTCATTCCAACTGACTACCCACCCAGCTCTTCTAACTCCCCCTCTGCCAGCA